TGTTTTTTTTTTTTTGTTTTTTACACAAAGATTTTATTTACTTAATTTTTTTTTTTTCATCAATTACTAATTCTACGATTCCTTTTTCTTCATTTTCTTTTATAATATATGTAAAAAAATTATTTTATTTATGTTTTTCTTTAAATATAATATTTAATAATTATAATGTATCTATATATATATATATATATATTATATAACTATTGATACATACGTATAATATTCCTTTAATTACTTACAAGTAGTTATTAAAGAAGTGTTGATTTATTTTTCTTTTAATTAATTAATTAATTATTGTTATAGATATATGTATATATGTATATATATATATATATATAATATATATATAATTTATAATATATATATAATATATAATATATAATATATAATATATATATATATATATATATATATATATATATATATATATATATATATATATTAGATATATATTAGATATATAGATATATATTAGATATATATATATATATATATACATATATATATATACATATATCTAATATATATCTAATATATATATATATATACCTAATATATATATATATATATATATATAATATATATATATATCTAATACAATAATATATATATATATATTTAATTTAAATCCATCTTATTCACGATATATATAAAATTTTAAATGTTAAACAAAAGCATGTAAAAAAAAATTAAAATTTAACAAATGGAAAAAAATTTAATAAAAATTTGAAAATTAATTTAGGATTTAAGAAAAAAAATTTTTTTTATCTTTGTTTTCTTTTTTTTATGTAAATTTACTCTAATTTGTGTAATATAATTAAAAATTTGAATTAAAAAATGAAAAACGAAAAATTTAATTAATTTTTTAATTATTTTTTTTTTTCAGTATCTCACTTTATGTCGCCGATCGATTTTTCTTTGAAATTACTTAAATTTTTTTTTATTGTTTTTTTGTTTTAATTATTTATTCAATTATTTATATAAAAATAGACTATATTTACTGACGATTATTATTAATATTTTTTTTTATTTACAGTGGTTTTGTTTTTCTTCACTTATTATTGTTATATATTTTATATTTTCCTCAAATTAATAATTAATTTTCATATTTAAAAAAAAAAAATATGTATACGAAAAAAAACTGGGTCGGGGTTAGGGGGTGTTCATAAAAAAGTGGGGCCTTCGTTCATACAGTATTTTCTTTTGTTAATATTTTTCGAAAACATTAAACGCACATAAGATAAAATTAAAAATATAATATGAAAAATGCATTATTACTTTACAAATATATATAAAAAAATTTAATTAAATTATTCAATAAAAAAGTAATTTGCAAAAAATTAAAAAAAGAAATTTATAATTTTCAAAATTTTTGCTAACAAAATTACAAACTGAAATTTTACGATCGATTTACATACAGAGATATAAAAGAATTAATTGAAGCAAATTTACTTGCGTTTTATATTTTTTTTTTTTTTTGTAAATTATTTGAAGTTAAACACAAGCACAAATTAAATGCATTTTAACAGGTTATTTAAAATAAAATTCTGTTACGTAATTTTTTAATTAAAATTAATTATTATATGTATACGTTATAGTCGCACAATATTCTGTACAAAAAAAATATACTAATTTAATTATAAAATCATTTTTAATTAAATCATAATTTTATATAAAATGTAGATAAATAGCTATAGTAACAAAAGAAATTATTATATTGTATTACATTAAAACAAAATTAGGTTAAAGTACATACACATAAAAGGATCAAATTAAAATTTTGTAGGTATAGGTATTAAAATAATTTAAAAAAAAAAATATTTAAATTCATTTTAAATATAATTAATTTATATTCTATATAGAAAGTTCAAAGAAAAATCTACAAAAATAGTTATAAAATTGTTAATTATAAAATAATAAATCATAATGTTTTTAATTATTATATTAATAATAAAACAGAAATAAATAAGGGTATATATACAACAATATTATACAATATCAAATAATAATTCAAATACAGTGAAAATTGTCTAAATGAAATTAAATAATATTCAAAGTATTATTGAAATATATCTCGCATTTTTAAATATATATATATATATATATATATATATATTTTATTTTATATATATATATATATATATATATATATTCTGATAAATTTCTATTTATATGCTTAATAAAGATATAATATTTAATTATTGCAATATAGAAAAAGGTAATGAAATTTCTAATTGAGAAGTTATTGAAATCATTGAATGTTAAATATTTAAGATGCTTATAAACATAAACACACTTTATTGAGTTAAGCAACCAAATAACTATTATATTTGAAAATCACATAAATCTAAATTTAAAAAAAAAATAAAGTTGAGTCAACCAATGGTTTGCAAATTACCAATTTTCCCTTCAAGAATTGAAAATATTGCTACATTATTGATTATTGCTTTCATTCATATATGAAAAACAAAAAAAAAATATTGCATACCTTTAGGATAAAAAATTAAATTAAAGAGTTGCTAACATAATGCTCCAATTTAAGAGTTAATTACGTCAGTTAAGAATAATAATTATATTTTTTTTTTTGCGAAATAGCCTTTACCGTCTGATTTTTGCATTTATAGAAGTTTGATATTTTTCGAATTTCAAGCTTTAATAACTTGAAAAGTCATGCAGGTGGAAAAAAATGGTCTTCCAACAAAATAAAATATTTATTAATATTTAAAAGTTGCTAAAAGATCTGACTTATATAACCGAATTCAGAAATTTGGAAAAGACGGATTTCAGATAACGGTTAATTTTAACAGCTATTTTGTTTTTTTCTTTTTTTTTTTATTTAAAATATAGTGTGCCGCGATAGAAAAAGTTAGCGAGTATTTTTTTTCGGTTTTACAGAATTTAAATAATGTTTCTGGTTTTTCTACAATAGAATTTTTAAGGGTTATAACTTCTAGAAGGGGGCAGATAGATAAAAATTTTCTTTTACGGAAATATGTTTCTAGATAAGAGCTAAGTATGTTTGAAATTCCAGCTTTCTATTATCATGCTACAAATTTTATTTTTAATATCCCTTTTTTCCGAATTTCATTTAGAAAATTTTCACTGTAAAAACAAAAAATTACCCAAAATAAATTCTTTTCATTTATGTATTAATAAAAATATTTATATGTATATACAAGTATGTATATATATATATATATATATATATATTTTATATTCAAATTTTACCTTACAACAATCGTTTTTTTGTTTGTTTGTTTTCTCTTTTTTTCTTTTTATAATTACATCAGTTCTGTTTTCCATTTCTTTATTTTATTTTAAAAATTATTTTTTATTTTAAATTTTTTAATTAAACAATTTTTTGTTGTTGCTTTTTTCTGTATTCGTTTTTTACTAATTACTTTTATTAATATATACGAGATAAATATAATAATTATAGGTATATTATGTATAGAATATTATATTTTTTCTTTATGTATATTTTAAATTTTTAGATATTTTTTTTGTATTTTACTGGTTTCTTTTCTCTCATTTTTAATTTTTGATTACACCATTATAATTATTAAATTGAAATTTTCAACCTTTCTTAAATTTATATATTCTGTTATATATACATAATGTATATTTATATATATATATATATATATATATAATTATTGTTTTCCATAAAAATATAATATTTCATAGATATTATAATGAAATATTTTATTTTATATTATTAAATTTTATTTTTTTTTTTGTTAATTTTTATGTTTTTTTTTTTTTTAATTAATTATAATTACTTATTTTCATAATTTATTTATTATTATTTTGCAAATTAAAATTTAAAATTAAAAACTGTACAATATAAATTTTATTATTAATAATTTACCATTATTTTATATATATATATATATATATATATATATTAGTTATGTTATATAATATAGGTATATATATATATATATATATATATATATATATGTATATATATTGAAAATATTATTATATACTAAGTAAGTATTTATTTTTTCTTTTTTTTGTTTTTAATTTTATATAAAATTTTAAATTATTAATTATTACATGCATGTACAACATATACAATTTGTTTTGTTTTTTTTTTTTATTTTTTTTTTGAATTTATATTATTAAATTTTTAGTATACATGTTATAATTTTTAAATTTAATATAACTTTTTGTTTCAATCTTACATTACATACGCATATATATATATATATATATATGTGTATGTGTTAATTATAGTAACTAAATAGTTTAATATATAGAGTTTATAATTGTACATTTACTATTTATATTATGTATATATATACATATATATATATATATACTAATATATATGCATAAATATATATATTTATATTACTAACACAGATTAAAAATAACAATTTTTGAATTTTTTTTTTTTTACTTTTTTTTCGTTTTTGTTTTTTGTAGTAAAAAAATTAAAATAATATTATTAATTGTTTTTTTTTTTTTTTATATACTATCACATAACATTTTTCCTTATTTTTTTTTTAATGTTAAAAATAAGTAATAAAATAAAATAAAAGATTTTATAAAGTAAGAGATTATTATCGCCATTTTCTTTTTTTATTTTTTTAATATAATTATGTAAATTTTAAGTAACAATTCGAAATGATTAAGTATTTTTACCAAATTATTAAAATAATGAAAAATTTTTATACGTAAAAGAAATAAAATAAACGATAAAATTCTAAGTAACAATAATGTTACTTAGAACTTTTGATAAAAATTAAATTTTTGAATTAATTGGAGAATTAAAAGTCATCTATTTTTTCTAAGAACTTGTAAACTTCAACAAAAGAAATCCAAATTTTTGAATTAAAAAAATTTTAGCTGGTGTTTTATTGCAGAAATATGAAACGAGTAAAAAACTTTCAATTGATTTTCATAGAATCTGGAATATTGATTATTTTTAAAGAAACATCAACTAATAATTAAAATTTTCAATTTATTGGAAACAAAATAAATTTGTTAGAATTTTGTACAATAATCAAGAATAATTTGTTTTCTTACCTATATAATTTATAACTATTGTTTATATTCTAGTTACAAATATTATTATCATTTAGTTCTCATTTTTTAATTTATACAAAATTTGAATAAAAAAAAAATTAAAATTAAATTTTTTTTTTATTAATTAATTCTAATTATATAAATCAAAATAAAGACAAACCCAACAAAATTTGAATTTTAAAAGTAATTATAAATTTTGAAAAAAAAATTTTTTAAATATTTTATTTGTTTTTAGAATTTATATAAACTATATATAATTAATATTAAATTATTTATACATCAGTCCCGCACCCCTCTTGATAACCTTCATCTGGTGAATTACGACTACTACTAATTAATGCACGTTTTAAGGCAGTTACCGGTGGTAAAACTGGTACACCACCTTTTTGCCATACTCTTATTGTTTTTGCATTTACTGGCATACCATTTGGTAATATTTGACCACTACTTCCTGATGATGTAAGATGTTGCTGCTGTTGTTGTTGATGCTGTATCTGTTGTTGATGATGTGATAATGTTGCCGTATTTGTTGTTGTTGGATGTTGTCCAAAGTGTTGTTGCTGATACTGTTGTTGATCATTTGTTCTTGAATTTATTAGACCAACCATGCTAGCAACGGTACCGTTATTTTTTAAATTATTATTAGAATTAGAACTATTATTACTATTTAAACTATTCGAACTATTATTAAAACTATTACTTGTGTTATTGTTGTTGTTGTTGTTGTTGTTGAACTGATGTTGTTGTTGTTGCGACTGCTGCTGTTGTTGCTGATACAACGGATGATTCATTTGATGATTTATTTGAGTTTCAGCTCCAGGTACCAATGGTAAACCATAATCAGATGGATAACCACCGGTGTTATTTGTTGTTATATTTGAATTAATATTTGATGTTATTGAGTTATTCAATTGATGATTTAATAAATTACTACCACTATCGCTACAATTGTTAAGCATTGTTGTCGTTGTAGCTGTAGATGAAGATGATGTTAAACCACTAACAGCTGATGATGTTGATGTACCTATAGCACCCATTGCCGTTGATGAATTCATTGCTTGAAAATGTGTTCGGGGGAATGTTCTACTAAAATAATCAGACGCTGAACTTAAACGTTCTTGTAAATCATACATTTGTGATGATGCGTTATCATCCATAATGGGAGTTTTATCAGTATAAGAACTATAACCCGTTAATGTTGTACTAGTTGCACGTTTTAGAAATGCATCTTCAAGTAAAGTTGTTGCTGTACTATTTGATTCCCATAATCCTGATGGATATAATGAATCACAGCCACCAGCTCTAGAATATTCTCCACTTCCAGGTAATTCAACGGAAGGATCTGTTAAATTAATCCCACTAGTTAAGACAGCTGGAATTTTTAAATCTGTAAACTCTTCACTACCAAATCTTTTAGTATCATTTATTAAATCTGGATTATTTCCAGCTGAGGCTGTGGGTGATACAAAACAATTTGAATTATTAATTATACTGCCACTGGTATCATAATTTGATGTTGTATATGGTAAATCAGTCAATCTAGGTGGTTTTTGTACAGGGTTAGCTAATTTTGATTCATTACTCATAGGGTTCACTTGACCATGATGATGTTTCTGATCTGCATCTGATGCACTAATATGATTCGGAATACTACCATTGGCAACAACTAAATTTTGTGTTCCACCATTATTTTGGGCTGATGGAGGTTGAGTTTTACTTGTTATTGTATTTGAATGATTCACTGATGTGATAACTTCCAAATGATTTGGGGTTTTACTTTCAACAAATGGTTGCCTTTTCAATCTTACAAGCATAAATAATATTACTAATAAAATTACTAATATTAATATCACTAAAGCTGCACTCAATCCTACAATTTGTCCGCTTCCAAATGATGCTATACCAGCAGGCCGCATACTAACATGTAATGTAAAATTTGCTTCAGCAGTACCAGCACGATTTTCTGCAACACAATAAAATTCACTTGAATCAGTTTCTTGAGCATTAGTTAAAACTAATTTTGATTTCTTTTCAAATTGTCCATCTTCAAACAAATAAACTTTTTGGTAAGCACTAAATGTACTACCGTTAACAAGCAATCTTCCATTCCAATACCAATTAACTTGAGCAGCGGGTATTGCTGATGTTCTACATAATATTGTTGCATTTTCACCCATTGTAGCTTCAACATAACGAACAACTGGTAACATATCAGGTCGACATGCAAAATCATCAACTTGTAAATCAGCAAATGTACGATCAATAATACGTTCTGGTCCACCACTACACATTGGTGCAACCGGATATGGAATATTATTTTCAGTTAACCATATTTTTGTTGCTCTTAATCGACAATCACATAACCATGGATTATCATGTAATTCAATACCATGTAATTTTGATAGTGTTTCAATTGTTCTTGGTCTCAATTCTGATAATTTATTACCATTTAATTTTAATGAGACCAAAGATTCTAAACCTTCAAATGCTTGTGGTGCTATCGTTTGTATATCACAATGTGATAAATCTAATTTCTGTAAACTTGGTGTATTACGAAATGAATGACTATCAATTTTATGTATATGATTTGATGCTAATGTTAAATCACGTAATGATGGTATATAACTCAATGCATTCGATGGTATTATTACTAATAGATTATGTGATAAATCTAAATCAACTAAATTTGTTAAACCTTTAAATGTTTCTGGTTGTATTTCACCAATTTTACAATTTCTTAAATACAATTTTTGTAAATTTAATAATGATGCACGTAAAAATTGTTCATTAGCTAAATTTTGCAAATTATTACCGGACATATCTAATACTTGTGTTTGTGGATCAATATTCTCTGGTATACGTATTAATGATTTATCAATACATTCTACTGTTTGTTTACCACTTTTCCATTTTGATATACAATCAGTTGTCTGATGATATGAATTACTGTTATTAATAACATTATTATTATTATTATTATAGTTATTTGTTGCACCATTACTATTATTATTGTTATTGTTATTATTATTGCTATTACGATTATTATTATTAGAGCTAATATTATCATTCAAATTCGTTATTGTTGATATTGATGTAGGAATTTGACTATTAAATTGTTTTGAATTAATAATACTATAATTATTAATATCCATATTATTATTATTGTTATTATTATTACGATTATTACTTATATTATTATAATTATTATTATTATTATTATTATTTATAATATTATTATGTTGACTATGTGAATGTCTTTGTATATTATTTGTATGTAAATTACCATCGACATTATTATTATTTTTATTAAGATTACTTAAAGAATGAAATGTATCACTAAAACTTAAATCATTATTATTATTATTATTATTACTAATATTATTAGTATACTGTAAATTATTATGATTATTATTTAAATTTGTATTACTATTGAACATTTTTAAATTATTATTATTAATATTATTATTACGTGTTAAACCATTAGCTAATATTATAAAATTATTATTAATTATTAATATTATTGTTATAAATAATATTAATGCTAAATTATTTTTATTATGTGATATAAAATGCAATGATATGCATTTATAACGAATTTTTCGTCTTCTATTATTTATTGATAACATTTTTTTCATTATTATTAAAAAAATTTTATTTCCTTTTTTTTCCGTAAAAAAAAATTATTTTTTTTTTTTGGTTTAGAAGCGAAAATAAAGTTTTGTAATACAAATGTACAATTTTTTACATTCACGAAAAAAAAAAAATAAAATATTTTAAAAATTATTTATAAAAATATTATAAAAAATGAATAGCAGCAAATTATATTTTAAATATTTGTAATTATGCAAAATAATTTTATTGTACATACTGTATATTTTATAGAAATTCTTTTAAAAAACACACTTTTATTTAACAAAAACTTAAAATTATATGAAAAATTCCATATAAAATATTGAATTGGCTATAAGGTTCTTAAATTTGCAAATATAATAAAAATATTTAAGCAAATCATTATTGATTAAACACAATTAAGGAATTAAAAATTTTCGTGAAATTAAATTTTTATATTAGTTTTTTTTAGCAACGAAAGAAAAAATAATTATTAATATTACAAATATAGTGTTACTTATTCACTAACATATTATTCTGTGTTACCGTTCTCTTACTATTTTAAATAGTAGATATTTTAAATTTTCTGTGTTTATTTCAAAATTATTATTGCATTTTTCAATAAATATTTTCACTTGTTCTTTTAAATATGAAATATTAATAATACTTCTTTAGGAATTATTTATTGTATATTTTATTTCAATGGTCTTATTATTTTCTATTAACACTAATTACTAAAATTTATTTATATTTAGTTTTTTTTTTTTTTTTTGTTCAATAACTTTATAGATGATTTTTATTTGTGTAAATGCTTCTGGTTATGATTTTAATATTCCTCTATACTTCCCAATGTATTAATTGAATATCTAAATTGACGCTAAATTAAAAATAAAATAATTAATTAATTTTATAATTTAATATCGTTTGAAAATAAAATATAATTAATTGTTATATAAAAAAACAAAACAATAATTTGTAAAATAAGTACAAAAAAATTTTTAAAAAATCAAAAATTATAATAAAAAATTAGTAAGTAATAAATACAATTTTTATTATTAATTTTTTTATTAATTTGTAACTTTATATAGGTAACAAAATTTATAATTAATTAAAATGTTTTAATTGTTTTATTTTTCTTTCATGATTTTAATTTTTATTTAAATTTTATTTATTTATGAAATTTTTTTTGTCTTTTTTTGCATAAATTAAACATTTATGTGAATTTTTTGTTTATTTTATTTTATTTTTTTTATTAATTATGTAAACTTTAAATTTTAATTAAATTGTTGAATAAAATAATATTGGTAAAATTGTAATTAAGTATATGTATTTGCTTACATAATATATTTTACATTATTGCAATTTGTATATAAGTATAGCAAAAAAATGATTTATTTTAAATGGGTACTTCATTGTTAAATCTATCTGTTTTATTTATTATATTATTTCAATTATTTTTTTACGCTTATACATAATCATTTAAAATTTAAATACATATGTAAATAAATATTATGTATTAAGTTTTTTATAAATTTATTATTTAAGGGTTCCCACACCACGCAGCATAATTTTTATTATTATAAAAATTATGTCATTAAATCGTCTACAATTAATAGAGAGTTTTGATATTACGATATTTTCTCACTAAAGGTAAATTGTGAATAGAGAGAATTTTGTTTTCATAAACATTTAAAGAGGGAGGATTAATTTTTAGTTTTGTTATTGCAAAAACAATTTGAAAGAGAAATATTTTAAAGTTACTCTATAAATTATTTTCAATTAGGCGAGTGAGAGCGTCCGAATTTTTAATTAATTGATCGTTAATAGTTGAGTGTTCTTTTTTAAATGATTGTATGATTTTGAGAGTAGCTTAGTATTATACCATACTAAGTAATTATACCATACTACTATTGGTACAGTTGAGTTGGTTGATATTGTAACTATTCTCAAAAACATTAGTGAAAATTGTTTGAGATATTTTTTGTGATACTCTATATATTATATAACTATTATAATGCTTAAAAAATAAAATTTGATAAATGCGGAATAATAATTTTTATTCGTTGCAATATTACGAGTACACTAATTTTAAAAATATTTTTTTCTATATATCTTCTTATTTAATTTTCATATACGAAAATCTCCAGAAAATAAATCACTATTAAAACTTTTTATTTTTAGTACATACAGGGACTCTAAATAAATAACAAATTACTCAAAACATTTACTCATAACTGTACATAAATTATTTATTTATCTTTGGTGGTCCTAACCGACTAAAAATAAAAAAATTAAAAAAAAATTTTTTAATATTTTTCCATGATTTTGTTTGTGTTTTTAATTATTCTTTATTTTTTCTCATTTCATTAAACTTCAAAGTTTTTTTTATATCCATTGTTTATTTATTCAAAGGCTTTATTACATAAGCCCTTTAACAACTTTTACATAGTCATTATTTTACAGTTTTTAATTCATTGATTGTGTACTATATTCAAAGGATATTAAATTCAACTCTTTTTTAAATAAATGAAAAATATTTCGTACTTTTTAGTTGTTGCTTTTCTCACCATATTTTTTTTTGACTATATGCAATAGTTTTTTTGTTTATTAAAGGGATAAAATACTTTTTTTATTAACTGATTGCTATTTTTTTCTCTGTGTATCATACATCCTATGTATTTATATACAACTGAATATGTGTAAAAATATTAAGTCTATGGTCAATAAATTTGCTTTTTTGGTATTATAGATACCACACAAGATAATTATGACAGTATACATTACAAAATTTTTTATTCATTCATTGTGGTGCATAAACGCTCACTATACTTATTTTATTTTGGCAACAGATTCGAACCAGTTATGACAACAAACTACAACAATACCTAAGTAATACGAATTGAGTTATATTCTTAAGTTTTTTGTAATTAAATCCGCCTCAGTTAGAAAAATATATAATGTAGCTAAATTCAAATGGGAAAAACTGCCATCAGTCAAAACCAAAAAATAACAAGGATTAATGGAAGATGGTAACCTACAAAATCGAAAGCAATTAATGCCTTACGAAAATTTCTAAAATGTCACTTTACACCTAAATGTTGAATTAGCCAAAACTGTTATAGTGGTGACTTACGCAGTTAAAAACGAAAAGATAAAATGTTTTATTACAAATAGATTTATTATATAATATGTGGTCATGTAAGTCTATTATATATATTAAATATTATTTATACATCAATTTTAATTTTTATTTAAATATGATGAGATAATGTAAATAATTAATTAATTTATCGAAGAAAAATTTACTATATTTTAATTTTATTTATTTTAATTTACATTTATTTTTATTTTTTTTTTGTTTTTTCATTAATGAACAATATTATTATGTAAGTTAATACATACACACATTTTCAATTAATAAAATTAAGTTATAAATGATTTATTTTAATCAATTTTTATTTAGTATTAAAATAATATCATAATAAATATTAATATATACGCATAATTGTATATAATATGAATATATTTAATTATATATGCAATTTAAATATACAATCATATTATTATTTTATATATATAATTAAAATTTATTAAGTTATATAAAAGCATTTATCTATATTTTACGTTTATATATGAACACATTTTTATATATAATAAATTAAGTATAACAAAAAATATTACATACACTTAATATTGTTGGTATCCTAATAGTTATAGTTGATTATTTTACGTATATTACTTATATAACTGAAATGAGAAGAAAAGAGAAAATGAATTATCAATTAAAGTTAATCACTAGAATGAAAATAATAAGTATATAAAAGTGTATACAACAAAAATATTATCTAATGTATTTTACATATAATTACGAAATATTGATTAAAAATTTACAATATTTGAAATTTATTTTCATTCAACATTATAAATGCATTCATATTATAAATTTAATAATTTACTAATAAGTAAATTTTTGGTTATGACGTCATTTACAGAAAATTATGAAAATTTTTGGAAATAATATAATAAAATTATTTTTTTTCTTAGGAAGTCCGGGTTTGTGGAATATATTTTTGTAAAATATTAAATTGGTAGTGGATTTTTAATTTAAATTTTCAATGAAGATAAAAAAAAATCAAAGAAAATTTTGTTTTTAATAATTTTTTACTTACTAATTTCCAAATAAATATCAGAAAAAATTTAAATTTACGAGAAAAAAAGTCGAAGATTAATGACCATTCAAAGGTTATACGATTGAGTAATAGTATTCCATTCCGCTCCATTCTCTCAAGTGCAAATATTTTGTTGATATTCATTGAACGTGCTCAGAATTTATAGAAGAAAATTTTAGAAAATTAGCAAATCTCGTGATCTCAGAAGGGAGGAAGTGACGTTGGTCACACATGTTGGTCATGTATGCTGGTCATGCATGTTGGTCATGCATGTTGGTCATACATGTTGGTCATGCATAGTGGTCATGCATGTTGATCATGTATGTTGGTCATGCATGTTGATCATGCATGTTGGTCATTCATGTTGGTCATGCATTTTGTTAATGTAATGGGAGATGATTATGTGAGTTGATCACGTTGGTCAAGATCACACAAGTTGATAAAGCTTATTGGACATATAAGTTGATCCAACTTATATCCCTATTCCTTTTTTTTAAATTATCACGTGATTTTCCAGAACAACTTCCCAAAGTTACATATTTATCCAATCCAATTAGTATTGTGTAGTTATTAATAAAGACAAACTACGTCTATTGTCGACTTTAAATTTTTGGGACGTGAAAAAGGAGTTGCTATTAATATCTGAATCGACAGGTTTTTTAAAATTTTTTTCTACAAGAAATGATCACGGGATTTTTCTAAAGAAAATTTGATAGTGATCGTATTAATAGTGTAGCAATTTATGAGGCACATGAAGATTTTTATTTATATAGTTGATTTACTATTTGCAGGTTCTTGTGGATTTGTAGATTTTAAAGATAAATGGAAAATTTGTTGCAAATGGCAAATAATTGCAAACATGACTCAAATAGTAAGAGAAGAAAGATATCACATTTCATAGCAATAATACATTTTTAAAATTCGTAAATTTCCTGAAGAATTTCGTAAACGAACTCATTTTATATTTTTGTACAATATTTCACTAACAATATAACAATTAAATTTAAGGCTTATAATTTAAACAAATTAAATATTTAAAATATTTCTTTAAGTTAATAAACAGTATATATAGTTAGTTACCTAATTAAATTTTAAACGAAACCCTAAGTTATAAAATAATAGACCAGAAACAAAAAAAAATTTATTAATCAGTGAGTAAATTAAAAAAGTACTTGAAATATTTAATGACTCTTAAATATTTTATTCATAAACGAATTGAAAATAAAAGTTATACTTCGACCTAATTTAGTTTTCAGGAGAAAACTAAAAGTTTTTTTAAGCATTTTTTAATTCATTTAAGAAAAATTGAATGAAATCGTTGATATTGTCATAATTTTAACCAAGTATAAAAGTTTCGAAATAAATTTTTGGATAATGAAAAAATTAAACAAATAAATTATTAATAAAGAATTGAACATTATTTTTAGCAAATAAATTTGCCATTTTTAAACAATTAAGGTTCAATTATAAATTAATCATTTTTAAATTTAATTCTACATTAAAATTCAATTTGAAATTTAGTTTTCATTATTTTAAATAACATTCCTAACAGGTCTTAGTAAGAGAAAGTTTTTAGTTTTTATTGTTCATCAATATTTAAAATAAGGTACCCTATCTATGGAAAACAGAAAAAGCTTAGGAGTTTTAATTAAGAGGTTACTCAAAGAGGGTCTATTCTTATATAATACAAAACTCACAAGGGAGCTGCAGTAATTACGAGAAAAAAAAATGAATAACAATTATATTTGGCTTACAAAATATATTTTTAAAAATTTTTGGAATTTATTGATCCAAAAAATTTAGTGGATCAAAAGTACTTCTTTAAATTTCTTGATGGACAAAATTATTTTTTACACAAAAATTTTGTAAATATAAGCAATAATTTCTCTATTCGCCAGAAACCTATCCATAGAGTAACATTTTTTATTTTGTAGTTTTCTGCTATTTTAAACTGTTAAACTACGCGTAGATTAAATATTTACTTGGCAAATACTACAACTTTATTTTGGTGAATAAATGCGAAAAGAATATTTGAAATTAGAAAATTTTTTACTTATTTTTGTAATAAAGTATTTGAAATTAATAAGAAGTGTTGGATATATTATCCACATTAAATTTAATCAATATAAAATTATTCGAAACACGAAATAAACAAATCAATTTGAATTAGAATTGAAAATAAACCGAATAAAAACAAAAAAAAACAAACTAACAACAAAATAGGTCTATAATTAAGGACATTATTTGAAGCGCCTGCTTTAATATTATTTTCACTTATCAATCATTTAACATAGTTAAAATTTTTGAACCCTTATTATTGTAGAATGAATAAATAAAAAGTTTTTAATAAAAGTTTCATGAATAAATAAAGAGTTTCAATTCTTTTCTTTTTTTTATGTTCTTTTCCTATTTTCAATGTACTAATGTTCAATATAGAATTTCTTCATATATACGAGTATAAAATTGTTATATATAATCAATTCCATTTATAAAGCAACTGAATATAATATTAAATGGGTTCATATATCTTACTTTAATATTTTAGAATGTAAAAAATAATGAAAAAGGAATTATTGTTTTGGACACAACTTCGAAAATATAGAAATTTTAATTAATTAAAAATTGCATACTTTTAGGGGTACAAAACAAAAATTGTGTCTTTTGTAATTATTTGATAGAAGTCTTCGTTTAATTTATTTTAATCTTAATAATGCTGAAATCGAAAATGAATATCAAACTTGGAAGGATGTATTGGCAGCTGAGAAGGCACTCTGAGCTCAATATTCATAATAAACCTTTGCTCTATAACCAGATTCTCATGCCTGTATTAACTTACTGTATTCCGCTTTGGGGTTGTATCAAAGATAGAAACATTAAAGTCATACAGACCTTTCAAAACAAAGTTCTCAGAATCATTGCTAATGCGCCCTGATACGTAATTAATAATATTCTGCATCGAGACCTGAATGTACGAACAGTCAAAGAGGACATAATAAAACATGCAACTAACCATCAAGCAAGATTATTCCAACATAACAATACCCAGATTCTACAACTATTGGATGTTTTCCAAGATGCCCGAAACGCACGAGACCACTTGAACTCATTGACTAAACAAAACAACATGATGGAAGCTCATCAGTGAACGATGCACCCATAAACCCCATTTCATTTCAGAAGAATTGCTAGATAGGAATTACTTTCTTAGCTGCAATAAAATAAAAATAAAAAAAAATTTGTCCTTTGTTGCGAAACGTTACGATATTGTCTAAGGCAGTTTTTAAGTACATATCAAACATTTCGCATGAATTTTGTTAAATCTTTTGAAAATTAGATGAAAATTCAATGTGTAATCATCCGAAAACTTTGTTCGATCAAACATAGAATGACATTCAAACCTAATCAAACAAAATCAATGTAAAATATTGAATGATTGAACGCTGTCTAAGACAATTGGTATCATAGAGTAGTCAGTCTAGATAGTCAAAATTAAAATATATATTTTTTCTTTAGTTTTTTTTTTTTGTTAATTCAGTTTTTTAATTCATAAAAGATCGAAAAACTTGTACATGTTACAGACATATTCATTCGTGATTGGAAAACTTTTTCTTTTAATGGTTTTTCTCTAAAAAAATAGAAAAACAAAAAAGTAAAACAAAAAATTATTTTTCTATGGAATTGTTGTTTATTTTTAATTGCTTTTCTTTTTAGATTTTCCTTTTCCGCTTTTTCTACTATATATTCATCTCTCTCATACAACATTGTATAGTACATTTATTCAATGAGAAATCAAGATTATTAAATGAAACACGCTATTAAGTTCATATACCAATAAAATGTGAATTTTTGTATGAAAGCTTAATAGGAAACAGCAAGATAATGGATAATTTTTTTTTTTTTTTCAGATATCAGTGAACACCGACAGATTGTATAATATCCACTATGTATTAAATAAAGAAGAGTATATATACTTAATAATAATGATAACCATGATGGTAAAACTTCAACTTTTTTGAAATTGTTTGCAAAAAAAAAAAATAAATAGACTTATTTAGAATAGATGAAGAATATAATTTTTCTTTTCAATAAAAGTTTTGTTGTAATGAAAACTCATGATAATAAATAAAATCAATACAGGATTTTAGAAAATTTCTAAAATTAAATTTAGTTTTTTGTATTGCAAGTGAAGAGAATAACTTTAATTTTTTTCTTAACAACTTAGTTACTCAAATTAAAATTTATTTTATATTTGTTTTAAAAAAACCTATGAAAAGGTGGTCTATTTTTCATCTTTAACTAATTACAAGCGATTTCTATAAGGTTTTTGCCTATCAATTGTATTTACTTTTCATTAAATCCTGTGTTCGTGTACAAATTCCCATATTGATTCCAATATGCAAAAATTTACATACACAAATATAATTTCAATTTTGAAAAAATTGGTTAAATTCGAAAATACGAAAACAACAAGAATTGCTTTAATGCTCTTTTTAACCAAATATATTGTGTACTATAGTGTGTAATATAGTATATATACTTCGATGTTCCTTTCACGAATCACTATATGAATTCAATATG